AGAAAAATAGAACATTCTTTTCTCTATCAGACTATATAAAAAGAAAGTTTCTTTAACCTTTCTATAAGGGATAAAAATACCACTGCCACTACTTTTGGTATGCCCTAAGTAGATCATAGGGCGGGACCGCTACCTCCGTAAAAGGCGGGTGTTAGGGAAGCAGAAAAACTACTACAATCTAGTTATGAGGAATTGATACGAGTTGCAGAATCTCTCATTTTTTAGAGAAATGTTTGGTCTATAATGGAGAAACCTTCAAAAACTTTCGAAGGTATTTGTGTAATCAAAATTACGGTTTTTGAATCGTTTTAGATAGTTAAAAATAATCTAGGTTTTTTGATAATTAGAATTGTTTTAATAAGAATGAAGTGTTTAACGATAATTTATCGTGTTGGTGGTTAATTCTTATAGTGAATTTTTGAATTATGCTACGGTTTTGTTACATCATCTTATGTTTCATATTAGATTAATGTTTTTTTATATTAAAACGAATAGACGTTTTAGAAAATTTGTCTATTATTTGTTTTAGTATTTAGAGTTTTATTATGGTCGTTTTTTTGTTTTTATAGTAATTGGATTTATAAAAGATTTCTTTAAGTGAAATTATCAATGGTTTCATAGAAGTCACTATAATATTATTACTTATATAATACTATAAGTTTTTGATCATTATTGTTTCTTTTTATCTCTTTATTCATTCTAAAACCAAACAAAGTCAGCGGAACGAACCCCATTATCGACCTTCACTGTACATTTAAGTAAAGTTAATTAGAAGAAAAAGCAAAAAGGTAGTAGACGAAAAAAATAAACGAACAAAAATAGTATTATGTAAATTTATAACATAATTTTAAGATTAGTTTTAACCATTATTTCTTTTAAACAAATAATTAATGATCAATCAACATCAACTTTACATAACTGACTAAAAATAGCTTTGAAAGTTCTGTATATGTTTCTCCTCTTTTAAAGGCATTTAAAGTAATTACGCCAAAATCATTTTATGTAAACATTTCTTTCAATTTTTTATTGGATGTTAGTTTCAAGTGTTAAATAATCAAACACATATACTGTGAAAGCTGAGCTTCTGAGCTATTGATTCGTAAAACAAAGTTTTGCCTTGAAGTCTTTTTTTTTAATTAAGTGTTTTTTCTGCAGGTGTGTTCAGTATAGTGAATGCGCACCCTCTAGCACCCATCGAATCCCGATGATGATGAAATTTTCACAGAATATGCACCAATATACGACACGCCTCGCTATAAATGCGTAAAGATGCGTCAATGATTCCAGCGGAACTGATAGCTTGTCTAAAATACCCTGGTGTTTGGAGGTTTTTCCAGTTTCTCTGTGTTTTAAAGCATTTCTGCCCCAAAAGTAATGACATATTCGGAATTAGAGTGAAGCACTGCATCGAACGATGTGTCTTTTAATGATTTTAACGGTGAATATTAAACTGACAAGATAGAATAAGGGTTAAACTTGGAAAATAGAAGTTTTGAAAGTATAGTCACACAATGCGAAACATCATCGGCGAAAACCATGAGCTTCTAGTGTGATGTAATAAATAGCAGCATTATTATTGTATGGCGCTGATGATACGAATCTAGCGGATAACCTTCCATGACCTTTATTTATTTCAGCAGCTGTGCCTAGGCCAAATTGATACCAATTGCTGAACGCTTGAGCATTGCCACCGCCACTAGCTATAGTTGGCAGACGAAATGTAACTCGCGTCAATTTTAACTTCTAAATAATAGCTTCCTCCGGCGTTCTGATCGTAATAAAGTGCACGTAAACGAAATTTACGTATGTAACATACTGTCGGATCGGGAAATGTATAACCGAACGGCCCCAGAAGGTCACTGGTTATTTCTTTCCATGTCGCATTGTTTCTTTCGAAATAGACGGCTCCACCTGACGGTATCGGATAGATGAGACGAGTGTCGCCCAGTGGTTGCTGCGTTCCACATTGTCCTACAAGAACAGAATTATGAAATAACAACTATTATTTATACAGCTATTCTTGCCAGCTTTGCACCGCACTGTTTGTCCTGTCCGAATTGTCTATATCCAAAAACGCTGGGGACAACGTCGCTTAACCCGCGGAACATGGAAACGGAATTCGTGACAGTCGCACAAGACTCCCAGCACATCTTTTCTGAAACAATATAATTCTATTTAAAAGCGTTGCTTGAAT